GCCTTTTTTATGTGCCACAATTTAAAAATGATATGAAAAAAAACTTTCTGGAAAATTTCGGGGCCCCTAAAAATGCGTGGCCTTCCTTAATCCAGCACTGGAAATAAGACATGAGTTTACAAATAAAAATTATATTATACTCTTTGATAAATAAAAAAACATTTTGTTTCCTTATTAAAAAATCATAAGATGTTACTTTATATAAAAAATGTTGCTTAATTTTATAAAAAAAATTATGAAAGAGCGATGCTTTGAAAATAATTGTTTTAAACGTAATTTATTTTGCTATAAGTTTTTTCGCGTTAAAACTTATATTCTTTTCTTAGTTTTTTTGGTTTTTTGTAATTGTCTCTCATCGGTCCAATAATTATTTACGCACTTTTTATTTTATTTTTAAATGTTCTCAAAACGACTAAAAAGCCTGGCCAGTTTTTCGCAACTAAATAGAGTTTCCATGGTCAGTATTTGAGAGCGATCGCTTCCGCTTCCCGACCAAGCCTGTTAATGCAGAAAGAAAAAAACTTAAAAAAAAAAAAATCCAGGGAGATTGGAGGAGGGGAGGCAGAGTTGGTCAGAGGCTATCTGGCCCTCCCTTGGCCTATGACTATAAACGTCCTAAACTAGTCAATAAATAACACTTTTTGATGTTTTATTCAAATAAATGTTTTAAAAAATATTTTAATTGCTTTTGTTACAAAATTTAAATTTTTCTAAAAAGGAACAGTTTTTAAATGCAAATTTTGATCAAGTATTAGAGAGACAATTTAAAAATCTAATTTTTTTCAGTAGGCCTAAGATAAAATAATGATATACAATTAAACTTTTTATTCAGGATTTTGAGCCATGAATCATGAATTTACAAATCATGAATTTACTAATCGATAGTTTTGATCGAAATTAAATAAACGAGGTATTTCCTGAGATCTAGTCTTGAGGGTGCTCTTATTGGATTCCGCAAGTAAAAATCTATTGGGGTACCAAATATTAGGAAATTTTCCTGAGCCATTATGAAGATACTATATGTCAAAGTTGCTTTGTAGTCGCTTCAGATAATCACTAAAATGCTGAGTCAGTATTTTAACTGACAATATCTCTGGAACCCATCTGTATTTTTAACTAAAATTTTTGCAGTTATTATTTTTTTAATATGGACTGCAAGTGAGGCAAAAATAAACAAATTCTGAAGCTTAAGAGTGCCATGGATGATTTCATATGGAATGACCCTTATATAAGTTACGCAAAACGCTTTTAAATTAAGTAACAAATTACTACTACTGATTGTTTAATAAATGAATTAATTTATCAAATTTATTAAAAAGTGTTGTATATAATATTTTTAAATTGTATGAACATTATTTTTTACAAAAAAGTTGCAAAAAAAAAAAAAAAAAAATGTTTAAAAAATAAGTCTTTTTAAAATAGTAATTTTTAATAATGCTCTAATTAGTAAGTCCGGGTTAAAAAAAGATTTTCAACTTTTTTATTCGTAAAAATAGGAAAAAAATAAAAATAAAATATGCAATTTAAATAAAACTGGCATTTTACATATATTAATTAAATTTCATTTACTTTTCATTTGAGCATTACAACTTTATTAATAAGCGTTTCACATAATGAATTTAAAAATTATTATAAAAGATTTAAACTCATTTATTCCTTGAAAATTGAAAAAAAAATATTTTTTTTCAAAAAATAAAATGTTTAAAAGATTTAAAAAAACCATAAGTTTAATTGTAAAAATTAATGGTATGAGCATTACAAAATGCTTCAAAACTTTTCCATCAATCAACAAAAAACATTCTTATATAAGTAAATAAATCTGTTTTATATTCTTGTATAATTCACGTAAAATGTGTAAAAGCTAGTAGTCACAAAAGATTTTGAACTCATTCATAAATTAAAATAACTTAAAAAAATTCTTTTTAAAATAATGGCGTAAAAGATTTTTAGGAAGACATGGAAAAGTAGTTTCAAACGTTTAAATTTATCATAAAAAATACATGCCTACATAAAAAAAAATTATATATAACATTTTTAATTAATTTACACGTGTTTATGTAAACAATCATTATAATTTATTGTATTTATAATTAATTATAATTAAATTAATATAATTAATTGTAAATTAAAGTAACTTAAAAAAAATTCTTTCTAAAAATAACGGTGTAAAAGATTTTTAGGAAGACATGGAAATGTAGTTTCATGTAAACAAACATAATTAATTGTATGGTTTTATTTAAAGCCTTCACAAAAAATGAAAACTATAGAAAAGATCAACAAATAAAAGTTGTTCATAACATCACATTTTTTTAATTGCATTTAAATTGTTAAAACATCAAAATAGCTGTGGTCAAGTGGTAAAGAAAAAATAAAATTAGTGTGGTCAGTTACAGAGTGTATATATATATATATATATATATATATATATATATATATATATATATATATATATATATATATATATATATATATATATATATATATATATATATATGTATATATGTATGTATATATATATACATATATATATATATATATATATATATATATATATATATATATATATATATATATATATATATATATATATATATATATATATATATATATGTATATATATACTCTGTACCTGACCACACTACATATACATATATATATATATTTATATTTATATATATATATATATATATATATATATATATATATATATATATATGTATATGTATGTGTATATATGTATATATATATATATGTATATATATGTATATATATGTATATGTATGTATATATATATATATATATATATGTATACAACCCTTGGAATTCGAGTCAGCATTTGGTGATGCCGACCTAACTGCCAACCTGAAAGTGTTTGAAGTGGGCAAAAAGTTTCTGACCTTGTTTCTATGTTTTATGGTTAGACCTTTGTATCAAATAGTTTTTGCCAACCTGATGCCGACCTCATTTTTCATAAATTCTTTTCTATCTTCCGGCTAATCCAGTTAAACAGGTTTAACCATTGTTAGACATTCAAATCACTCTAGCTTTAAATGCTAAAGTTAATTCTCAATTAAAATCTTCTACAGTTTGTGATTTAGACAAAATTTCTATAATAGTTTTACAAAAGTGCTCTCCAGAGCTCTTTTAATTTTTCTAATTTTTAATAACTCTAGAAAACACACTCTCCAACTATTCTAACTATAAAACATCTCTCCAACTACTTTCCAATTAGTCTTCTCTCTATTATTAATTTCTTTACATAAAGGTTTTGAAATTATTTAATTGTTTCTCTATAACCGCAGTATTTAAGTTGTTCTCAAAGGCCTCCACTATTCTTAATTACCAGTAACTAAGAGAACTGCAAGGTTCTATCTTTGCTCCTGTATTGTTTCTTATCTACTATAACAATCTTTTTGACAATATTTTTGACATCTAAAGTGGTTTTCTTTGCTGACAATTCAAATTTTAAATCTTTTCTTGACAAAATTTTTCACTTTTTAAAGCTTAGAACAAGCAGCTAATCTTTAGTCTTCTGTAACAGCTTACAGTGGCTTGAGGATTTAAGTTCCAAAATAACTCAGTTATTAACTGTGAACAACTATCGTAATTTTGTTGACATTTCTATATTGACAAATAACAACTCTCTCACTATCAGACAAGGTGCTTAAGCACATTGTAAAATGTAGTTGGATAAGCTTTATCTGACGAGCTTGAGCCACATTCTCATTGTTGTAAGATTGCATCTCTTTCTTTTTCCTAAAAATATTATCTTGGATGCTGCTTAAACAAGCTATCATCTTTAGTTGGATCAACCTAAACTTGCTTCTCGCTTGGCTTGTCATTCAGCAAAGTTGTCGTTTTACTGTATTTGTCCCTTAATGCTATAAAATTTTTTTTATAGCATCAAGGAACAAATAAAAACATCAAGTATAAGTATAAATTATAAAAATTATTTGTAATTTATTTTTAAATTATAAATTATAACTTATAAAATACTATGAGTATCAATGCTTGTACTGAATGGTTGAACTTTGGTAGAAAGCAATTTAGGAAGCAGTTTATCAATGGACTGGATAGGCACACTAAAACTGTTCATTAAGTCACCTTCCATGTGCAAGATGGCTTTGTTAATACTCTATATATTTATAAATACTTATATATAAAGTTGTAAAAAATCAGAGTAGATATTGCTCCTACAGAGTTTAGAAATCTTACTCACTGGCCTCAAAGCCACCAGCTTAGTTTTAGAAATCTTACTCACTGGCCTCAAAGCCACCAGCTTAGTTTTAGAAATCTTACTCACTGGCCTCAAAGCCACCAGCTTAGTTTTAGAAATCTTACTCACTGGCCTCAAAGCCACCAGCTTAGTTTTAGAGCTGTATTATTGTTAGGAAATAACAGATTTGCGTAACCACTACTAGAGTTGAACAAAAATTAGTTTTTTTCCATTTGCATTTTTTGGAGTTAAAATAACATGTTGTTGGGTGTTTTTTTTTGTGGTATTTTTTTGTTGCTTTTTTTAGTTTTTTGTTGGCATAAATTTGAAATATTTTTTTTTAATTCTAGTATATGATCATTTTAAGCACAAATACTTGTAAAAATATAGACATTTCAACATACTTTGTCATTCGAGGTCCATTTTTAGACATAATGTAATGGTAAAAAGAACATTAAACTTTTTTCTATTTTTCTAATTTGGTTAAAAAATTTATATAAATGGGCAACAAAGGTTTTATTTCTACCTGCTGTAAGGCCAGCTCAATCATAATTGATTACCAATAACAAGAACAATTACAAATCGCTTAATAATTTAAATATATTCTTTCTCTCATTCTCTCTCTCTGTTATAGTCAGTTTTTTTCTTAAATATAGTTAGAATAGATTTTTTTATTGGTTCCCTTAAATAACTTCTAGATATGATATTTATAGTTTTATTATTTTATAATATGAATTTTAAGTAATCAAAGTTTGTGTTATTTTTATAAATTTTTATCTTTTAGATTTCAGCTTTGACAGGAAAACAAAAAAAAAAATTGAAAAATGATGTTTCTGTTTCTCTTACTTCCGATAAAGAAATTGATGATGAATCTGCAGCTTTATTTGAAAAAGCAAGAGCTAAGCTAGAAGCTAAATCGAGGCTTTATGAAAAAATGCATTCTGGTGAAATGGAAGACTTAGAAAACATATATGGTGAAACAACGTTTCTTGTTGATTTTCATAAAAAATCTGAGGATGAAAAAAATGATGAGAATAAAAATGGAAAAAAAAAGTCATTTGAAACAAAAGGATCTTATGCATTGTTTGAAGCTGACGAAGAAAATCGTGAAAGATTAAGAGAAAAATGGGCTCGTGAGCAGCAGGAAATTTTAGACGGACCTGTTCATTATGAAAATATTAAATTTGATGAAGTTCGGAATTTAGGAACTGGATATTTTGCTTTTTCAAAAGACGAACAAACCCGAAAAGAGCAGTTAGAAGAATTAAATAAATTAAGGGAAAATACCAAAAATATTCAGAATAAAAAAGAAATACTAAATAACAAACGAAAAGCTTTATTAGAAGATAGACTAGCAAAAGTTAGACAAAAAAAGTTGGGAAAAATTGATATAGAAACAAACATTGATCAAAATGAATCTAATAATAAAAAACTTACTTTAGATCAAACTAATTTGTCTGATGTTTCCAAGTCAAATGAGTTAGAATCAAATACAGCAGATATAAATACTTTTATTCAAGAGTGTCGGAAACAAACAAAAATGACTAGGGAATGGGATAAAGGAAAACATGAAACATATGTTGAACAAACGTTTGTAAAACCTTCAATATCTTATGAAAAAATAATTCATGCTAGAAGACAAGACAGAAATGAGGATTTTGCACCACCTAATTTTTATTAATTTTATTAAATTATAATTCTTAAATTTTTTCAGTTATTTTTGAAATTGTTTATATTACATCAGTTAATTTAACAAAATTTATTGTATATGCATATTATAAAAATGTCTTTGAATAAATTCTGTAAAAAAATTTTTCTTGTATATTTTGTTACTTTTTTACCTTGTTATTTTGTTATTTGAATTTATATTGTTGAACATTTTTTTTTGTTCATGTTTTAAATAGATAGGTCAAATTTAGGTTGATTAGGTTGAGAGCAAAAGTTTTAGCAACAAGATCTTAAGTATTAACATACTGACACAAATGACGAATGATTTATTTGATGTACCAAATATTAATCACAGTATAACAATCTGTAACATAATGTATTGCATATTATAATACAACCTTTGATATGGTATACTATAATATCATCTCTAGGTATATAGATATCTGTATAATATTATATAATCTGCAAAATTATATGATATAGTATAATGTAGAAAAAATGTAAACATTTATTCAATCAATCACTTAGGATTTCTTAGTATGGATTTACAAGGGTGAATAAAATCTGAATACTATCACTTTAATATTCCACTATTGCTTTTCTGCTTTTTCAGGTTTAATCTTTACTCTGGAGTTAAGAATCTCTTCAGAGTTTTCATGATGAATAGATTAAATCTAAAAATGGATGGCTTAATCTGCTAACAAGATAACTCTAGTAATCTGCTAACAAGATAACTCTAGTAAACCAAACTGTGTAGGAGCAACATAAAAGTTTTTCATATGCCCATATATACACTTAAGTATATATGGGCATATATACACTTAAGTATATATGGGCATATATACACTTAAGTATATATGGGCATATATACACTTAAGTATATATGGGCATATATACACTTAAGTATATATGGGCATATATACACTTAAGTATATATGGGCATATATACACTTAAGTATATATGGGCATATATACACTTAAGTATATATGGGCATATATACACTTAAGTATATATGGGCATATGAATACTTGTTTTTGTGAAGCGTTTTTCATCAGTTTTAAGAATATTTAGGAGTTTTGTACAATGTATATGAATTGGTAATCTTAGAAAAACTGTTATCGCAATAAAGTTGATTTTACAAAAAAGTGGAGTTATCTTATTTGCGGATGAAGCCGTTGAAGTGTATTAATAATGCAGTGGCATTAATAAGGGCAGGTAACTTATTCAAAAGTTTTTTGATTTTTTGAAAAAAAAAATGTTTTTCAAAAATAATAATAAAAAAAATGTAATAAATAAACAGACATAACTATCCTATTTAATGATTGTTAACAAATAGATTTATACAAATCATTAATAATTAATAATTATTAACAATTTGTATTTGTTTTTATTTGGACAATCAATTGCAACACTCTTTTGAACATTATTTTCAGATGAAAATCCATCAGATCATCAGTTACAGTTTCCATATTTTTCTTTTTTTCTTCCATCAAACTTCCACTTTTCATATGGTGCATAGCGAACAACCACATGTTGACCACCTATATAAAATATATAAACAACTGTTTAAGCATATCACCTATAAGTTTTATTATCTATATAAATAAATACAAATAATGTTTTTTATATTTCTTATTTTACATTATTCTTTAGTTTGATTAGTTTAGTTTAGTTAGATTTTTAGTCTCTTTAATTTGAGCTTTCTCTAAACTAACCTATCATAAAGGTTCTTTTTTTTTGGTTAAACTTAACCCAATATGGTTGGAAAGAAGTTTGGCATTGTAGTTAGTATTGGTGTACAGTTAAATCAAGTTTAACAAAGGATTCTTAGTTACCAATTCAGTACATTATATGTTCTTATCCATAACAAACACAAATAAGATTTGTTAAAGAGAAATTCCTTGGTTTGTTTGCAATATTGGTCAGGAAGCGGGAGCGATCGCTCTCGATTGCTGACCACGTAAATTATATTTAGTTGCGAAAAGCTGGCCAGATTTTTTAGTCGTTTTGAGAACATTTTAAAAAGCAAAAAAAAAAGCGATAAACATTAATTGGACCGATGAGAGACAATTACAAAAAAAATAAAAATTAAAGCTTAATAAATTACGTTTAGAACAAATATTTTCGAAACATCGCTCTTTAATAATTTTTTTTATAAAATTAAGCGATGTTTTTTATATAAAGTAGCAACTTACGATTGTTTAAAAAGGAAACAAATATTCTTTATTAACAAAGTTTGCAAGTTTTAGTTTTATTTAAGCTAAATTATTTTATAAATAAAAAAGTTTATTTTTTTAATACCTATTTTATGTTTCGCATAGATTGAAAAGTTTAACATATTTGAAGCAATTCTTCTTAGTAAGATAAACAAATGAAATAATTAAATCATTGAATTACTATAGAAATTAAATTAACAAGATAGAAATCAACTAAAAAGGTTAAAAATACTTTATGACGAGGAAGCGAAACTGCTTCACAATAATGCTGATGATGTTTAGAGAGTGGGCTTTTTAATTTTAAGTAGTATTTAAAGCAGAAAAAGTATAACGAGTTTTAAGAATGGCAACTTAAGCGAAAATAATTAGAGTTAGTAAACCAATATCTAGAAACTTTTCTTTATATCTAATTATTTGCTATATATATATTTGTGTTCTGTCGTGACCTCAGACGCAGTGCTTGTTCATCCATGAGTTACTTTGCGTGCATTGGTTGTGTTTAGTAGCCAGAAACTACCTATGATGTACAGAATACTACCTATGATGTGAACTGTTGTACTACCTATGATGCAAACTGTTGTACTACCTATGATGTGAACTGTTGTACTACCTATGATGCGAACTGTTGTACTACCTATGATGCGAACTGTTGTACTACCTATGATGTGAGCTGTTGTACTACCTATGATGTGAACTGTTGTACTACCTATGATGTGAATTTTTGTCACCAGGAAGAAAAAGAGGAAAAAAAAGACTTAGTCTGATCCCCTTTGAAAATAATTTTGTTCTTTTCATAATTTGTTCTTTTCATAATTTTGTTCTTTTCATAATTTTGTGTACTAGTCCTAAACACGTTGTCACTAAAATTTTACTTTTCAACTTTTCAACCTGATTTCTAGATTTGACTGTTGATATTTTGATTATTTTTTTAGGTTTGAAATAACTAGTTAAAGAATATAAAATATAAATAATATAAGAGTATAGGAAATTAAATGTTAATAGGATTTAATGTTTTTGTTTATGTTGAATATGCTCAGTATACTTACAAATAATTTGTATTTTTAACTATTGTTAAAAAAATTATTCTTCGAAGATAACTATAAGTGAATTTAAAATCCATTATTTTTGTATATTTTATATGGTTCCTAATAATATGCTTGGTCAAATTTTTTTATCATTCTTTTTGTAATAGTTTTTATTATAATTTTTTTTTTTTTATATAAATTAAATTTTATTATATTTTTTATAACTTTTTCTTAAGTTGTATTTTTATATTTTACTTCATTATAGATGTTTTAGTTTGATTCATTAATGTTTTAATGAATTCTAGACCATAATAGAAGCTGTATCAAATTCTTGTTGATAGTTTGAAGTTTTTTGAATTTTTCTTTAAATTTTCCGAAGTTTTAGAGATATTTAAAGACTTCAATTTTAAAAGACTTCAACTTCAATTTGATTCTACAAACCAAGTTTTTTTGAATTGTTTTATTGTTTATTTAAAATAATATTTTACTAGCCAAGTGCAGTAGGGATAATAGGGTTTGAACTTGAGATCTTTTACTTATAATTTAGATAAAATTGATAAATAATTTAGTTATTTTATTTTGTTATGTTTACTAAAAAAATCTAGATATATTTATGTTATGAGTACTGCTTATGTTATGAGTACTGCTTATGTTATGAGTGATGCTTATGTTATGAGTACTGCTTATGTTATGAGTACTGCTTATGTTATGAGTACTGCTTATGTTATGAGTGTTGCTTATGTTATGAGTACTGCTTATGTTATGAGTGTTGCTTATATTATGAGTACTGCTTATGTTATGAGTGTTGCTTATGTTATGAGTACTGCTTATGTTATGAGTGTTGGCTTATGTTATGAGTACTTCTTATGTTATGGGTGTTGCTTATGTTATAAGTGTTGCTTATGTTATTAGTGTTGCTTATGTTATGAGTGCTGCTTATGTTATGAGTGTTCCTTATGTTTACTTCGAAGTTTAAGTTATTATCATAAGTTTTCTTATTTTTTAGTTTAGATTTAAACTTTTAAAAAATACCTGAAAATATTTTACAAGTAGTTTTAAAAAAATGTTATTGGTTTAATATATGATTACAGTTAATGTCATCATATATGGATTACAGTTAATGTCATCAAGACAGATAGTGTTATTACAAAATTTTATTAATATAAAATCCTAATAGATGTTTACAGTTAGTGTTAACTAGTGATAAATTGACTTAAAAATTTGTTATACTGATATAAATATTTTAATTTAGTTTGTTTTAAAATTTAAAATATTTAATTGCTAATCAATGGATTATTATCATTATAAACATGAGAAATGAAAATTATAAACATGACATTATAAATGACTGGTTCTTAATATCTCTTAGATAATTTAAGAAATATGAGTATAGGAAATATGGATTGGGATTCCTTTGTTTTAAGCTTAGTTACAGTATTTTATGGTTTGTTTTTGAGAAGTTCTGTATCATTGAATTCTTATTCTGGAGCTGGTAAACCACCGATGTTTGGAGATTATGAGGCTCAAAGGCATTGGATGGAAATTACTTATAATTTACCAACTGCAGAATGGTAGATTGTTATAAATTGAAATTTTCATGTTTTTTAAATAAAAAAAGTTTTATAAATAGGTTTTTGTAAAAAAATTCATTAACATGATGCTATTTATTTAAAATAGGTACTGGCAGACTGAGTCTAATGATTTGATGTATTGGGGTCTTGATTACCCACCATTGACTGCATACCACAGTAAGCTTTGTGGAATAATGTAAGTAACTATTTTTTATTTCACTATTCAATAATTGGTCAATATAATTTGAATAAGTAAGCAAAGTAAAATTCAGATATTTGTATATTCTGAATAAATATAAAATTTAGAGCAAATTTTCTTAATCCTCGGTGGGTTGCGTTAAATGTTTCAAGAGGATTTGAAAGTTATCATCATAAAGTGTTCATGAGATATACAGGTTTTTTATAATTTATTTTTTCAACAAAATTTTTATTAAATTAATAAATAAATAAAAAATTCCCTGTGTATGATAAGTTTCTCAGTTGCTTTTGTTAAACATTTTGTCTGTAATAACAAAGTTTTTTTAGTAATAAAACTAGGTTTTTAATATAATATAAAAAAGAGAAAAAAAAAGTAAAAATAGGAATTATGCAAATTAACGAAATAAAAACCTATGCTTTATTTTATTTTGTATTAAAAACATTTTAATTTCCAATATTTTTCTAGTAATTTATGGTAGAAAGTTATCTAGCATTATAGCATATTCGATGGAAACTTAGCATTATAGCATATATGATGCAAACTTAGCATTATAACATATATGATTGAAACTTGTTATTTATGGTATTAATGATTTTTAAACTGTGGTTTAACATGACCTTTTAACATAAAGAATAAGGGTAAAGAAATAAATATGTTTAGTGTAATATAATAAGGTTTCTAGCTTTTAATTTTAAGTTTTTAAGATTTTAAGATCTGTTTTTTTTTTTTTTTTTAATCTTCACTCAATAAGGTTGCAACAATCAATTTTAAATTGTTTCAAATTCTTTTGAATATTTTAGCATAAAATTTTAGATTTCTTTTAATAATGCAATGAATTTTAAATTACTTTTAAAACAATTATTTAGAAAGACTTTTGATAGTTTACTCAAGCATGCCAGGTCTATTTTTAGTATGTGTTATTTTTATTAGTTGTGTGTGTAGAATGTGTTTTTTTTTTCAGTTTTATTTGTTGATTTACTTATATACATTCCAAGTATTTTGTACTTCTACTCTGTTACACTAAAAACTGCAACAAAAACAAAAAAGGTTAGCACTTTTTAGTTTAAATATTTATTTTAAATAATTAGATAAAATATGATATATTATAAAAGCACTTTTGAAAAAGTCACACTTGTGAGTACACAAAAGAAAACAACTGACTCAAAAAATTTTCAAACAAAATATTTATATTTATTCACATTATACATATTTTATTTTTCGAAAAAACCGCCCTGTTATATATTTTATTTTATTTAATATAATTTTATTTTAATATATAAATATAATTTTAGTACAAAATAATTAGTTTTTGTTTATTCAAATCAAATACAAAGAGGGTTGTAAACTACAAAGAGGGTTGTAAAACTACACAGAGGGTTATAAACTACAGAGGGGGTTGTAAACTACAAAGAAGGTTGTAAACTAAGGCAATAAATATTTGGTCCTAAATTCCTTTTTACTTAAAGGTGTATAAATTTAGGATCTTTAAGAAATTAAGTATTATTAAGAAGTATGTATTATAAAATCTTCATTTGCAAAAATTGACTTATTGTGTCATTTTTTAATTAAAAAACAATTTTTAGCAAAATTATAAAATTCTTATAAAAGTGATAAATATCCATCTTGATAAAATTAAACCTTTTCAACATCAACTAAATTTTAAACATAAATCAGGCTTGGTCGGGAAGCGGGAGCGATCGCTCTCGATTGCTGACCAAATTATAAAAGTAAATTATAATTAGTTGCGAAAAGCTGGCCAGATTTTTTAGTCGTTTTGAGTACATTTTAAAAAGCAAAAAAAAAAAGCGATAAACATTAATTGGACCGATGAGAGACAATTACAAAAAAAATAAAAATTAAAGCTTAATAAATTACGTTTAGAACAAATATTTTCGAAACATCGCTCTTTAATAATTTTTTTTATAAAATTAAGCGATGTTTTTTATATAAAGTAGCAACTTACGATTGTTTAAAAAAGAAAACAAATATTCTTTATTAACAAAGTTTGCAAGTTTTAGTTTTATTTAAGCTAAATTATTTTATAAATAAAAAAGTTTATTTTTTTAATACCTATTTTATGTTTCGCATAGATTGAAAAGTTTAACATATTTGAAGCAATTCTTCTTAGTAAGATAAACAAATGAAATAATTAAATCATTGAATTACTATAGAAATTAAATTAACAAGATAGAAATCAACTAAAAAGGTTAAAAATACTTTATGACGAGGAAGCGAAACTGCTTCACAATAATGCTGATGATGTTTAGAGAGTGGGCTTTTTAATTTTAAGTAGTATTTAAAGCAGAAAAAGTATAACGAGTTTTAAGAATGGCAACTTAAGCGAAAATAATTAGAGTTAGTAAACCAATATCTAGAAACTTTTCTTTATATCTAATTATTTGCTATATATATATTTGTGTTCTGTCGTGACCTCAGACGCAGTGCTTGTTCATCCATGAGTTACTTTGTGTGCATTAGTTGTGTTTAGTAACCAGAAACTTCTTATATGTTTGTTATATAATTAGTTTTATTAACTTTAACGATTATAACTTCATTGAAATTGTAAATATTTTTGTAAGTCTTTGTTTAAATCATAAAAATTGCTTTAAAAGATAAATTACGATAAAAAACAGATACACAAAATTACATTTACATAAAGAATACATACTTTTTAAATAAAAAATAAGAATATACTAATAAAATCTATAATTTATAATAAACTTTTAAAATTTTGACAATTTAATTAATATATATTTAAAACATTTATTTTTGTAAACAAATAATATAAACAAATAATCTCAAAACGTAACAAATCGTGAATAATACAATTTCTAAAACATTTCAACAGAATACTCCAGAACTTTATTTCGCTTAGTCAGCATATTTTTTGAACTAATAGAATTAGTTTGTTCGTTAATTTGGCGGGTTTTTAGTGATCGAGAATATTCTTTTTATTCTTTCGCACCAAGATATTTTGAGAACAATTAAGTTGTTTATGTTTCCATGTATGTCCGTAAAACAAAATTTTTTTGTTTCGTACATAAACTTAAATGTTCTCAAAACAACTAAAAAACCTGGCCACTTTTTCGCAACTAAATATAATTTCTGTGGTCAGTATTCGAGAGCGATCGCTCCCGCTTCCCGACCAAGCCTGATAAATATGGTAAGGCTCCTTAGCCATGGTAAAGAGAACCTAGAAAAAGCAAAAGTTTAACTTATATATACTTATAAGTTTTGACTTATATAAATTTTATATAAAGTTTTGTTAATAATCTTTTACTTATTACTAAATTATTAATAAAAATTATTTATCATGATAAAATATTAGTAAAAATTTATTAAATTAATCAGAAAATTAGCAGAATTAAAAAAAACTTTTTATCTCTGACAGAAAGATTAAAAAGGATATTTTTAAGAAGTTGGAAGACCTACAAAAGAGAAATTGATAACTCTATTTTTAGGTTTATTTTATTATTGTTTGATGAACTAAGTAAAAATTTGTTATGTAAAAAATCACAAAAGGATTTCCTTAATAGTATTAAAGTTTATTTAATTGCAGAGAAAAAAGGATCGTGAAAAGACTCACAATCAACAGACTATAAAAAAACCATTAGAATACTAAGAAAAAAAGATATTCTGCAGTTTGAAAGATGGTTATAGTAAATAAGAATTGTTAAACCTGCTGAACAAATTGCAAATAAAAATTTTTGGTTAACATGTTCTTAACCTTAAAACTTATTAGTTGTTACAACTACAAGAACAGGTCATAATGAAGATGTTATCCATTTTAATAAATTTCAGAATGTTATTAGTTTAAAGAATGTTAGAGTGTTCTCTTCACACAAATAATGTATGTCTTTATTGTTTAAATGATGAACTCAGTTACTATACAACCTCAAAAAGAGAGTGGAGCTAAAGTGAAGCATACCTACTCTTTTGTTTTGGGAGAGCAATCATGGATTGAAGGGAGACCTAAAATCTATTATTGATTATATAATTGTGTGAGACCTTACAAAAATCTTATTATTTAAAAACTTTGGCATATAAAATTTGCCGAATGGTCACACACGAGCAGTGAACGCCTGAGGGAAGAAATGAAGTACATTAGAATAAAGGAGAATTATTTATTAGACTAAGCATATTTTGACAGTTGTCAAGACAAAAATAAAGATTAATAGAGGAATATTAAAAAATAAATAAGACAAGCCATACAACCAAAACAGTACTCAACCATAATAACAATATAAAAAATTAAAAAAAGTTAAAAACAAATAATAACAAATAATAATAATAATAATATATATATATATATATATATATATATATATATATATATATATATATATATATATATATATATATATATATATATATATATATAAAATTAAAAATAAAAAAAAATTGTTTTATAATTACCAATATGAACTAAAATATACAAGAAATACATAACCAGTCAAAAATTTGTAAAACAAAAAACTATTCAACAAATAAAAAATGCTAACGACAATGAAAGGACTAATAATGGAAAAAAAACATTAATGCTAATGTGTAAACATAATTAGTGTAGTGATAAGTAATAAACATCTCCTCAGAGTCGCGTCTATTATTACTGGCGTTTCGATGAGGATCAGCATTTATAACTAGTTTATCCCGTCAGACAAACGTCATCGCCACTTATGCTTTACCCCGCGACTTACGCCTATTCCATACTGCAGTAAAAAAGGACTCACTACAAATAGCCAAAACCCAACCAACCCCAAATTTGTAAAGCACCAATATTTATTTCTTTACTTTACTCTACTGAACGACATAAACAGCACAGACTTACACATTACACCTATACACCCTTATGCACATACAGTCTGTTTACATCTTTTGCATGCTTTTTGTTCTTTCATAGATAAACTATCTTTGTTTGAACTCATCCTTATTTAGATAATATTTTCTTTTAATAGATATGTTGTTAAAATGTAGATACAGATTTGTATGTTATCTATATGTGTTTATCATGTGTGATTGAATTTTTCATTAAAGGATTCATCTGAATTTTCATATAAGTATAAGAGCGATTCTTATAAACTAGCGGCATTCGACTTGTTTTTATGAAGTATGACCTTACAAAAATCTTATTACAAACATTCCTTTTCAGTCTAAAAAAGCTTGAAAGAGAGTTTGCTGCTCATAAAAATCAAAAACTGAGAAATCTGTTAACATATTTAAAATTAAATGCAACCATATTGACTTTAGAATTTGGGAACCTTTGAACCCATGAACCCTTTTTCTTCTGCCAAGTGAACATTAGATAGCCTATAAATAATCTTGGAGTTTCATTTTATTTCCAAAAAGGTAAGAGAAGTAAAATGTTTTTGTAAATATTAGTTATAAAAATTTTTTTTACAACTTTTTTGAGGTGCATTTAAAACTTTTCTATAACTTGTTTTTTTTACTGTAAAAGAGAGTTTATGCAACCATGCCAAAACTTCATAATTGTTCAGAATTTTGAACTTATTACTTAAACTAAAAAGATATGTCATAAACACTAATGAAAACATTTAAAAAAATTTTTTTTTACTAACTAATAGATTATTTAACTTTTAAAAAGACTTTTTGAAAAAAAAAAAAATTTTTATGCATATGGAATCCAATACAAAAGTTTTTCAATTGATCAAACAAAAAAAATTATTTCGTTTATCATGATTAAATAGTTCATTAGGTAATATAGAAAGTGTAATTATAATACTTAAATTGTCTATTTATATTTTAATAAACCAGAAAAAAAACTTCTAGTAGTTGTTGCATTTTATTTAAAACAAGTTGTTACCATAACACATATTGTGAAATTGTATTTGAAACAACTACAAGTTGTTGCTATGATACAATATGTTAAAATGATACAGAAAATTAGGAAACATTTGTTTTCAATTTTAATTTTAAATTTAAATTAAGAAAAAAAAATTATTGCTTCAATCATTTAAAAACAATTGCTTTTAATTCTTTGTTCTAAAAACGTTTTAGAGAAATTTTTTGTCTATTTTCTATTTTTTTTTTTTTTAATTTATTTTAGTTTTTTATGAGTGCATTGGTATTGACGTATCCAGGACTAATTTTAATTGACCATGGTCATTTTCAGTATCTTTTCACCTTTTGATAAGTCTGTGTTAAAATTTCAATCAAATTTTTTGTTTGCATAATAAAAAAAATATTTCTTGACATAGCATAGATATAATTGCGTGAGTCTTGGTTTTACATGTTTTGCAGTTGTAGCACTTTTAAAAGATCGTTATGAATTAGGTGCATCTATTTTTGTCCTTGCTTTAAATTATAAACAAATGGAATTATATCATGCACTTCCTTTTTTTTTCTATTTGCTTGGAATTTGCTTCCATCAATTTTTATGGTGAGCTTCATCTGATTGATATTTTAAGTTAACATTTTTGAACAATTAAAATTTTTAATACTTTATTACTTTATATGTTATAGGATAAATTTCTTTTTTAGGATAAATAAAGTTTTAAAACTAGCTTCCATTGGCCTAACAGTAGTAGTGACATTTATACTTTGGTAAGTGCTTAATTAACTTTGATAGCTACTTTGATAGTAGCTGAAAAGAAATATTTTTTTTAGACCACCCTAAAAAACACACACACAGATATATATATATATATATATATATATATATATATATATATATATATATATATATATATATATATATTTTATATATATATATATATATATATATATATATATATATATATATATATATATATATATATATATATATATATATATATATATATATATATATATATATATATATATATATATGTGCGTGTGTGTATATATGTATGTATTAGTGATGTGCCAGTTACCTGGTTCGGACCAGTGGACCCGGTGGTTTGGCTGTTTTCCCGGGTACCCAGAATCGGCCATTTTGTTGCAATACCTGGCACCAAGTATCTTAAAAGAAGTTTTTAATAAACATAAACCTTAATTGCTGTAACTATTTGTTTTAGTGGTACTTTAAATTGTGTCAAAATATTAATAACCAGATTGCATTTATATTTTAACCAATAAACTTCTTGATATAAGTCTAAGAGTGTTATGTAGTCAGTAGCCACAAAGCTGTATTTACTCAATATAGATGTGTTCCACTTAAAACATTTTTAAAAATATATTTTATTTCAAAATATTCAGAATATATTGCTAAAACGAAATTGATGTTTACCGATATTTGAATAGCTTCTTTTTATTGTGTCAGAGAATTTTTCACAATTAAAATTAGATACAGCATACAATTAGATACAGCATACAATTGTTGTTTAAATTTTTTTTTATTTGTTTTGAATTTTTTTATTTTATTTAGACTACAGTCAAGAAGGTCTCTCTCTTTTTTTTCAATTCTCTGTCTCTCTTAGTCTTTTATTTTCCATAACATAACTTTTGATTAATTAGTTCATATTAGCGATTATTTAGCGATAAATTACAAAAAAATGTTAAAAAATATGTTTAATACCACAATTAAAAAAGGAAAGTTAGTTAGCTGGAACAGTATTCTTGAAGTTGATTGAGTTTATTTTAATTTTAAAGCTGTTGATGTTTTTGGCATTTACTATGTCAGATGGCAATTTATTCCAAATATTAACAACCCTGTGGGAGAAAGAATATTTATGGACATCGAGTTGACACTTTAGTTTGTGTAATTTGAATTTTTGACCTCGAGTACAAATGTGGTTTTTTTATTAAAATGAAGCTTAATATGTTTAGGCAAACTTAATTAGCGAAAATTAATCAGCATTATTTTGTGAAATTCAGCACTAGAGATTTCACAAACTTTTATTCCAATCTTTTAAAATAGACCCGGTGCTAGGTACCTGGACTCTGTATTATCTTCCGGGTACCCGGAGTTGGTGACTCGGCATAAACTTGTTTCGGCACATCTCTAATATATGTGTGTGTATAAATGTTCCTGTAATTAACATAGTGTATCAAGCCACTCTATACCCAGGCACTCCGGACGGGAACGAAAAAGTCTATTTTGGAGTTAGTGAAATCGCATTTAGTTTTAGATACACTTACCATACAAAGTCTTATAATATCAAAAAATATAAAAACGATAGTAAATTGTCTAAGGAAGTATAAAGGTTAAATAAAAGTGGAGTAAACCTAACAGTTGAATGGAAAATTGTAAAAGGTTGTAGATCTCACAATATAATGATAGAATTTTTACAATTCCATGACAAAAAAAAAAGCAACCTATGTCTTTATGGAAAGTATTTCATAATATCTTACACAAATAATAACTTATTACAAAGAAGAATTAGTTGGTATCTAAATGTAGACATAAAAGCAAATTTCTTCTTTCAAATTACAATATGGGTGATTAGCAAGCTGTTTTTAAATTTTCTTTTTTTCTTATCTTTTTTGTTTTTAGTTTTGATGACAGAGCACACTCCACTGTAACTTTATATTTTAACAGTTTTTTTGTTTCTTGTTTTGTATTACATGGCTGACGATTGCCTTGAAATTATTAGCACCATAAAAAGTTATATTTTCTTTTTTTAAAAATTTATATATATATATATATATTTCAAATTGCTTATAATATGTGAAGACCACTTTAAGTTTTTTGTATAACATGTTGCTTTTTTTATTTTGTATTTCCTTGTTTTACAACTGATAAGTTTTTTTGACCAGTTCAGTTTTACACTTAAAATATTATTTTTTTTTATCTTTTTACTAAACATTTTTTTTTTAGTTGGATGCCTTTTTTAACTAGTCGTCACTCTATTTTGCAAGTATTACACAGACTGTTTCCATTTAATAGAGGCTTGTATGAAGTAAAACTAATTTTTTATAATGTTTTTATCTTGTGTACAATGCATTTTTTATTGTTATTGTTGTTTTATTTTTTAAATGTGAATTATTTTTACTGTAAATTTTCTTATTGATGTTATTATTATTAATATTGTTACTATTTTTATTTTTTAATTGCTGCTTAAGGTATTGTTATTAATGTTGTTATTGATGATGGAGGTATTGTTATTTGTGTTGTTATTGATGCTGGAGGTATTGTTATTTATGTTGGAGGTATTGTTATTTATGTTGTTATTGATGCTGGAGGTATTGTTATTTATGATGTTATTGATGCTGGAGGTATTGTTGTTATTTATGTTGTTTATTAATGCTGGAGATTTCATTACTTATGTTGTTATTGATGCTAGAAGCATTTTGTTGTTATTGGTATTGGTTTTATCGATGTTTTTGTTGTTGTCAATGTTGTATTTGATGAAGCTTTTTTTATTGTTATTAATACTGTATTTTAATGTTATTGCTGTAAATTCTTCTAGAATAAGGTTGTTATGATACTATGATTCTAGGATAAGGTTACTATGATACCTACTTACTATGATTCTAGGATAAGGTTGCTATGATACCTACTTACTATGATTCTAGGATAAGGTTGCTATGATACTTACTAACTATGATTCTAGGATAAGGTGGCAAACTTTTGGTGTAGTTTATCTGTGATTTACAAAATGAAAAATGTTTTTGACCAACAACAAATTTTGAAAATATGGTATGATTTTTTCTTAATTATCATTAAAGAAATTTTTTTAATTTATAAATTATATTGTAGAAGTAATCTTTATTATTTTTTTAATCTTAAACTTTGTTGCTATGTTACTATATTTTATTGCACTTGATAAACAAATATTGTGTTTTTGTTGTGCTATTTAAAAAAAAAAAATCAAAGCTTTTTATAATTTTATCATATACTTTTTAGCTTAATTTCAACATTACTGGCATGTATTCCCTCATCATTAAATCTCTTATGCTATCCTACTAAAAAGAAATTTCTATATAGCATGGTAAAAATAATGTTTTACTATTTATGTTAATTTACATTGCAAATAGTTTTTTATAATGCTAAAGTAAAATTTCTAATTGTGTTCATACCAGGTAAATTGCTCTTTGGCTTTTTTTCTGTTTTCATTTCAAGTCCATGAAAAGTCTATACTTATTATTGCATTGTAAGTATTTTTTTTTGTTTGTTTCTTTTCTTTTTTCTTAAATATTCTTCATCAATTTTTTTTTCTGTAGACCAGTATGCTTGTTATTGCTAGACTGTCCTTTAGTTTCTGTGTGGTTTCTAGTAATCTCAACTATTAGGTAAGTGTAGATTTTTTATTTGCTGTTAATAAAACAGACTTTATTGTATCTGGATCGCTATTTTAAAAATCACTATATTAAAAATTTTTCAAATTATTAGATAATAAAAGATATTTACACAAAATAAAAAAGATTTCTGCAAATTTTTATTCTAATGAAAAATGAAAATAAGTGAAAAGTTCATAAATAATAAATGTGGCAGCAAATGCTTCACTTTTATGCTGTTTTATATGCAAAGTGTTTATTTAATAATAATGATGGATTCAATAAGTAGCTAAGGTAAACACTTTTTTTTAAATAGAATATAATATATAGATTTGAAGTAGTATAAACTTAATGTATATAGGTTTGAAGTGAAAAGTTTAACTTTTATATATTTCATATTTTATCCAAACAATTTTCCGGATTTTTAAAATATGACTAGGATGATCTATGTTTGTGATTTATAATTCTATGTGATAAGAACGTTTTCAAATGGCTTGTGTGTTTGTTCAGTGTGGTTAATTATATCAAGAGCTTTAGTGAATATGTAAAAAAAAGCTCCAACTAGTTTTTTTACATTTGTTCTGGATATGATTTTTATTACTAATTTAGTAGAGCAATCCAAACTGGTATCAGTTTACTTATCAGTTTATGCTCTTCAAGGTATTTTATTGGTTGAACTTTTTCTTAGAGTCTTGACAAAATTGAAAGAATTGATATGAATCTATACATAATTAGTGACATAGTTTTTACTGTTTTCATTCAGAACAATACCTATAAAGGTCATGCTTGTTACAAATTATTTTTTGGATGTATTTAAAATTCAAGCAGTTCTTTAAATCAAAAATTATGCGTTTTATTTTTTTTATGATTATTATGAGCACTTATTAAATGTTTTATTAAATAATTATGACACATGTTTTTCATTTCAGTATGTACCCACTTCTTGAAAGAGATGGACAATCCTTTTCATATTTTACACTTTTGATACTGTTTATTGCTATTTCTTTATGTACTATGGATTATTCTGAGTATCACATTTTAGTCAAGTTAATTGTAAGTTTAAAAAAAAAATTAAACTCGGTGTAGTTAGGGCAATTTTCAAATATTATAGCGTCTGTATGAAATTTTGTTGACTACAACATATTTCCGTTAAATGACCTTGTCTGTGAATTATGAAAAGATGAAAAAAATTCAAATGATACATTTTTGGTATCATATAATATAAATGTTTGTAGCAAAAAAAAACCCAGACCTTTTATGTTCTTTTTTTTTGAAAAAAATCTTTTAATCACTTGTTCAAATTTGAAAAAGATTTCAAATAAATTTTTGCTTTTTTGGTGAAATAAGCATCATAGTTTAATGATATGACTGTTCTGATTGTTTATTGGCAATATTTCTTAATTATATTCTCTTTCATGGTCAGAATTCTAGTATTTTATTTTGAAAATTTGTAGAATATTTTGACAACTTTATATAGTTAATATACATCAGAACTGATTAGAACTAGGATCTATAGTGGGTTAAGACACTTTTTCAAAAGATTTTAACTAAATTCATGTTTATGCTGATGAGCAAAATTGATCTAAAGACTCCAAAATGGTGTTCTTTAGATTCACTATTAGGGATAGTAAAAAGGTTTTGAAAGTTATGTATAAAAAAAGTTTCTTTAAATATTTAAAAAACCTGGAGAAAAAAAAAGTTATAACATCTAAAGCTCTTGTTTGGATATAATACGCTGATTAAATCATGCTAATTCCAAATAAAAGAATTCAAATAATTTGTAAATCTCCTTAACTACATTGAGTATGTGTCTATAATTATTATGGGGTTAAGGGAGACAGAAGAAGGGTATTGCGGATTGCCAAAATGAGTCATGACATTGGCATTGTATCACCTAATTTGCCTTTAAAGATTTGTTTTCATTTTTTAGGTTGGCTCATCTTTTTTTGGAGCTTTCATTCTGCATTTATTACCAATCTTTATCGAGGCTCCTAAAAAGCTTCCAGATCTTTATGCATTACTGTTCTCAGTTTACTGTTGCATGCATTTTTTAATTATGTTGGTGTACTTTAACTACAAACAATGGAAATGCAGTGAAAATGATGTTTCTGCTGATAATTTGTTTATTTCGAAAAAAATAAAAAATAATTAATATTACCAATTATTATTTAAGTAGCATTGAAATTTTTTTAATATTTTTGTTTTTTGATGCTTTGCATATATTAATACTTTTCTGTCAAAGTAAATTTAGTTTTTAACAAAGTTATTTGGAGTATTTGTCATTATAAACAATAAATCATCAATACTTGAGAGATAAGTTGTTAACATAACAGCACTAAACACATGAATAATAAATTTTTGACACAAAAACAATAGACCATTAACAAGTCAAAATAAGAATTATTAACATAACAATAATTTATTAATCTTAATATCAATAAATCATCAACACATAAATGATAAACTTTTAACATTAAAATAATAAACCATCAACACCTCAACTTAAAACCATTAGCATAATAACAATAAACCATCAACACTTCAACGTAAAACCATTAGCATAATAATGATAAATCATCAACAAGTCAACATAAAATTGTTAACATAATAATAATAAATATTAAAACCATTAATATAATAATGATAAATCATAAACACAATAAATCGTCGACTTTAAATTATTTTGTTACTAGTAAAAAATATTGTTACTAGTAAAAAAAAGTTTTTAAATACAATATATTTTTTTTTAAATATAATTTTTTTTTTCAAACAATTGATATTCAAATTATTTTTAATTTGTTACACAAAACTATTTCGCTTCTTTTAAACAAATTTTATACTTTTAAATGAATTTAATTTTTATTATAGTTAGAATGGAAAAAAATATATTGGTTATAGCCAGTTTGATTCGCGTCTTTCTTATTTTGTACAGTACTTTTCATGACAAGTATTTTGAAGTAAAATATACTGACATAGATTATGAAGTGTTTACACAAGCTGCAAAGCACTTAGTTGATGGAGGCTCACCATATTTAAAAGACACTTATAAATATACTCCAATGCTTGCATATTTAATGATACCAAATGTTTTTTTACACATATTGTTTGGGAAATTTTTTTTTTGTGTACTGGATATTATTGTTGCAATTTTACTTCATAGAATTTTGAATGATTTTAAAATATCAGAAAGAACTGTAACAAAAACAACTATTGTTTGTTTCTGGTTGTTTAATCCATTTACAATGACAATTTCTAGTCGCGGAAATGCTGAATCTGTTCAAATGGTTCTTGTTTTACTTGCTCTGTATTTTTTAATGAAAGATTGGTACTTATATTCTGCAGTTTTCTTTGGTTTGTCTGTTCACTTTAAACTGTACTCAATAATATATGTTGTACCTTTTCTCTTAAAAATTCAATGTTCATACAACGTACCTTTGTATCAAAGTAGATTGAAAAATGGTGTATACTTTTTTCTGAAGAAAAGAGTTATTTTATTCAGTGCAGTATCATTTGGAACTTTTGTTTTTTGTGGATTGATTATGTTTATGAGGTAAGTTTATATTTCATTTATATATAAATGAAATACTGTTTTAAATTTCTTATAATTTTCAATATTTTATTTATAGGTTTGGTATGGAGTTTATTGAAAATACTTATTTTTTTCACATATTTCGAGTTGATATTCAGCATAATTTTTCATTTTATTTTTATCCATTAAAATATTTTAAAAACCTTCCATATTTTTCAACTTTTAAAAGTATTGCTTTCCTACCACAACTTGTAACTGTAGTATGGTTAGGTTTTAAATATTCTGCGCATTTGCCGTTTGCTTGTTTTCTTCAAACATTTGCATTTGTATCATTGAACAAAGTCTGCACATCTCAGGTTTTTCACACTTTTTTTTCAGGTTTTTCACACTTTTTTATAAATACTTTTTATATTGTAAAAAAAATTATAATAATTTATAATATTTTTTTCTTTTTTTAATTTTAGTACTTTATTTGGTACATTGTTTTTCTTCCATTGGTATGTCCATATTTACAGATATCATTTCAAAGAGCAATTGTAATTATAATAAGTTGGTTGTTAGGACAGGTTATTATTATTATTATTATTATTATTATTATTATTATTATTATCATTATTATTATTATTATTAATACTTTTTAATTTATTACTTTTAATAATATGTATGCTAACTTTTTTTTTTAGATTGTATGGCTTTTTCTAGCATACTTACTAGAATTTAAGAAATACGATGTTGAACTTTATGTTTGGATGGCATCTTGTTTGTTTTTGTGTATAAATGTTGGAATAATTCACCAAATAATAAGAGCTTTTTCTTTAAAACAGAGATCAATTATTGAGAGTAAGAAACAATAAGAAAATCAAGATTTTGAAAATTGTAAACAGTTTTTTAGTTAAGAAATATTTATTAAAGTTGTTATTAAAATACAGTGATACAATTTTTTTTTAAATATTTTTATTATTAAAACTTACTTAAACAGTCTTACTTAAAAAATAAAGTGTAAGCAGCTTTAATGTATAAAAATGTTTTAACTATATGTGAAAAAGTATGCAGTATAATGAAGCGTTATCAATACATTGAGATTTTATAAATGCAATGAAGAATTATCAATTCAATCAAATATTATCAATACAATGAACTGTTATCAATCCAATAAAGTGTTAGCAATCTAATGAATTGTTAACAATAATAACACAGCCAACTGTTTAGTACTCAACAATTTATATAAAGTATAAGAATGTTAAGTAAAAATCATTGTAGAGTGAAATGCAGTAACTGTAAAATATTTGATTCTGGTTAATAATTTTTTTTAAGTTGATAATAGTTATCAATATAATAATTAAATACATATATTTTTTTACAGGTGTAACTTATTATAAGGTGTTTTTTTAAATTTTTTTAAACAAGTATTTTATTTATATTAAGTGTAAATTATTTAAGATTTTTTAAAAATTATTTAGCTGTAAAAAAATGATTTCAAATAATGAAGATGTTGATGACGATCTAATGGTTGCAGGAAATATTTCTAAAGATTTTTCAGAAGAATTTAACTCAACAAATCCAGATGATGACGATGATTTTCATGTTGAAAATGGTGAAAAAACAGCTGTTGTATCAAAAGGACGAGATACAAATCGTTTTCCATTTACAAGAATACGTTCCCTCATGAAGATGGATCCAGATCTCACGATTTCTAGCCAGGAATCTGTGTTTCTTATAACAAAAGCTGCGGTGAGTGTTTTAGGAGTATTTGTCGAAATAAACAGTAAATTATTTATATTTAAAAAAATATATATTTATATAAAAAAAGTTGATTATTCAAAAAAAAATTTAATAATATTATATGATATCTCTGTTAAATAAAGATTTAGAAAAAAGTTTGTCTCTGTTAAATAAAGTGCTATTGAACTAATTCAAAAACAGCATTTTTATTCAATATCAAAGAACTCTATATTTAGTTTAATACAAAACATTCTTAAAGTTACATTTTCATAATATTTGTAAGAATAATGTATAAAAGCTTTAGCTCTTCTTGCCTTGCAGAAAATTCAATATGTTATTAAAAAGCCGAAACAATTGTTTAGCCTTTCATTGGTTTATCAATGTTATTAAAAAGCAATTGATTAGGCTTGAACACTTTAAATCTATTTTAGTGGTAGAGCTGCATCACAAAAAATTTAAAAAATGTTGACAACTACCATAAACCAAGTTTCAACAATATTGCAGTGACACGTTTTTGCAACATAAAAAGGTAAAAGTACTTGTAATGGAGCTAGTGAGGCCATAAAATGTTTTGTTGCACAAGCCAGTTATTAAAGTCAATCTCATAGACACATAAAGAAAAAGTGCAGCTGCTGATGTGTTCAATAGATCAAAGGAATTTGTCATGCTGTTCATTATTGTAAACTAAGTTTTTCTATAAGAACACGCACTACAGAGTTCAATTTGGAAGAGAGATACAGTGCATCTTCTATGATACCTGGGATCACCACAGTTTCATACCAGTTATACTTCTTTAAAAATAAAAATTTTATTTGAGGTTTGCACCAATATGGATGTTTCTACCTGAAGTTTGTACCAATGAAATTTCAAGTTATGTTCTTAAAACCCAAGTAGCCTGGATTTATGATGCTCAATGCTTTTTAAGAAATATGCTTAGCATTTCAAATAAGAACCAAGATCTATATGTTAAATTTATGAAAATATTAACATGCACCACATTTACTTGGCCATGCAAAAATGATCTCTGTTGGGTACCTTTACTTTGTATTTTTTGCAAAGTTCAATCGCTCATGGTCTAGTCTAATGGAGTAAGTTTTTAGGGAGATTTTATAATATTGACTTAAAAGCAAGCAATGAATTTATTATTTAAAAAATCTGATTTAAAGGAATAATTGCAAAAATGTTTATGAAAACATTTTCAAATATTAAGTACTGCTGACTCATACATTTCAGCATAATCTGCAATAACTACTTAGAAGATCTTCAATGTCAACAAGTACTAAAAGTAGACGCAATAACTAGATCTTTATCTGATTGAGTTACCATGGGAAGAACTTGGCAGGAATGCGCACAAAGTTCATTTTCTTTTACAAAAAACCTTTGGTACATATTGCAAGAGAAATTTTTATTTGTAGTATTTAAATATTTCTTAAGATATCCTTTAAGCAGTTTGATAAATAAAGTTTTAATGTTTAATAAATGTTTTAAAAACCACATATTGTTGCAGCAAAAGTTTGTAAAAATTATGTAAAAGTTATTAAACTTAATCTCTTTGTTACACTAGTAGTAGTATAACAAAGAGATTAGGTTCAGAAAAACAAAGAAAATTTTTTACTTTTGTAAAAACATTTTTAAACAATATTAGGCATTAAAATAAAAACTTTTTTTAAATTGAAATTTTAATACTTTATGAAACAAACCAATTTTAATACTTTATGAAACAAATCAAAGAAATGTCAAAAAATAAATTTTTTTTTTATTGTTTATAATATCATACATTATATTTATTTAGACTTTTATATTTTATATTTTGTTCAAATGTTGTATTTATTATTTTTGTTCTAAAATTTGAAAAATAATTTTTAATTTTTTCAAGTTAAAAAAAAAGTTGTCAATAAACAAAACTTAAACAAAAATTTTTATTTGGCTAAATGATAAAATTAACTTTTAAAAAAAAAAAAAAACTTTAAAAAAAAAGAAAAGCTTTAAAAGCTTAGATTAACTAATATAGTGACAAAAGTCAACATAAAGTAAAGATCAAAACTTCCACTAAAAGTTGCTATTTAAATAATACTTGCATCTCTGAGAAGTTGACAGTCAGTTGAAAAGGATGGCCTTTAACTCGTGACTTTTAACACAGTTTAAAACATAAAGAGATTAGAGAAAGAGCAAGAATCCAGTCCGATAGCAAATGTGTTGACTTTTTTTTTGAATGTGCTTGGTGAATGAAAAATTATTGGGAAAACAGAAAAGATGTGCAAAGACATTTAAAATGTTTAGGATATCAATTTATGTGTATGTGGCGTTCCAAATTGAAATTGGACTGACAGTTTTTACCAGTGGAAATCCCCACAGGTAAATAAAATAACTCTTGTAGCTGTGCTATTTTGTTTGAGGTATGTAAGCATTAAAAATATTTTAAAATGGTTCATAAATCTGTGAAAACAGTAACACTTCTAAGCACTATAAGGTTAAGGAAGTTGTAAAAGAAATCTACTACTCTAACAAAAAAATCAACATCTACTGCTACAAAGTTTTTTCAGAACTAGGAGAAAAATTAGAGCTCGCTTAAAATTTGAATCTTTTAATTCAATTTTTTTTTTTGAAATATGGATTTTTAAAAATTATTTTTTTACGAGTTTTCATTGCACATAACTAAAATATTAGGTTCAATTAAATTATTGTTCCTCAAAACACCATAAGTATTAAATTCATTTTATCATTTTTATTTTCTTTTTTATTATCCAAATACATCCAAATAATTTGAATTTTCAATATTCGATATCTGGATAGTCATGTTGGATAATTTGAAACCATACATATGAGTGATGGTAAACTTGACACAATGAGAAAAAGAATCAACTTTATTGAGCAGCAATTATTTTTTTTGTTTTTTTAAATTCTGTTAAAAAGATGTCACATATATAGTGTTGGCCAAATTAACTGAAATTGGTCACAAATAAACAAATTTATGGCAAATCATTTTTATTCACTCTCAAAATTACATAAAATTGCATTCAAAAACACTGTTCATATAAAGTTCAGTACAGAGATAATCTAGTACTTGGTGAATTAACCTTTAACCTTCAGAAGTGTTTGAATTCTTTCTGTCGTAGAGTAAACCAGAAAAGTACAGTTGCCAGTCAATTCAATATTTCTTGTCCAGGAGTTGATAATCTCTTCTATCAATCTTCTATAGCAATAAGAATTGACCACAAATTCTTAAGAGAGTACATCTCTCGACTATTGCCCGGCCATGGTAAAATGTCAATAACTTCAGAAGTCAGTTACTGGGCAACTCTATGCCCCTATGACAAGGTGCTCCATCATGCACAATAATTAAGTTTCCGATGCCCTGCAATCTTTGCAACCCACTCCTTCAACTGTGGAATGAGATGTTTCTCTAACACAGACTTGTACTGGTCCTGCCTCATTGTACCTTCTACAACATACAACTTACCTGTGCCAAAAAATGCTCATTACACACATATTATAACCTGTGTTCAGTGTGTTTAACATGCTGGACAGTCTTCTCTCATTTCCTTTCCAACTTGTTGTCTTACTTACTGCACTTGCTGCTCAGAACATTAATACTCTTATCACTGAAAAAATTTTTTCATAATTCCTTAGTCCAGGAGCAAAAATGCTTCGCCTAGTTGAGATGTTTAGTTTTCTTAGGAGTTAGCTTCTACTTGTTGAATAGGTCTTTGACATAGGGTTTAAATAGCTTTAAACCCCATGTCAAACAATTTTCTTCTAAATGTCCTGTCACTCATAGAAATACTGTGTTTCTCCATAATACCCTGCAGCAGTTTACTTGTTGCTTTTCTGTTCTTTTTACACTCTTGTACAAGAAACATATTGTCTCTTTGGTTGTTATTCTTTTGCGACCACATTTTGACTTGTGCTTGGGTGGCAAATTCAATCCCAAACTTTATCTGTCCGTGTGTTTCCTGCGTGTTTTATTTATGATCTCCAGATAGGTGCGTGTGTCACTTACACCAAATAATATTAAAAATAAAAACAACTAAAACCAATTTTACAAAATTATACCACATTAAAATTTAAAAATACCAAATTAAAAAAAATTAAATCACTTAAGTTCATTTTTTTAAGTATCTATATTTAATTTGTTTAGATTTTTTTATTTATGATCTCTCTGTATGTTGTTTTATAAAGTTCTAGTGGGAATGTATGTATAACTTTTTACAGTAATCAAGTGGGAATGTATAAGTTTTTTTTTAATTGATGTTAAAGCTCTTAACTATATTACTTTTAATTATAGGAATTGTTTGTTCAATTGCAAGCACTGGAAGCATACAAAAAAACAAAACAGGCTAAAAGAAAAACTGTTCAAAAAAAAGATTTAGGTTTAATGGTTTTTATTTTTTACTCTACTTTTTTACTTTTTGTAATCAGATCTATAATAATATTCATATATATTAATGATTGATAATAAATGTGAATATGCAGACATTGATCTGGCCATTATTCTCCTAAATTTTTGATAAAATAAAAATAGTTTATAACAGTTATATATAGATGGTTAATATTCAAGATGGTTAATATTCAAGGACTTCAAGGATAAATTTTTAGATAGAGAAGCCCAAAATTTTTAGTTATATATTATGATTATAATTTTAGATGTATTATTGATTAATATTACTTAAGTTATTTAATTGTTTTCAAATTTCTATTTTTTTTTTTTTTTTTTTAAAAAAAGTTTATGATTTTTTTTTTGAATTCTAGTGAATTAATATAACTAACCTATGATACTGTAAAGATAGCATGGTCTAAGCATAAATGCAAAGTTGTGTCATGTGTTTCAAACACAAAAGAACAAAATGTTTTTATTTTTGTTATCTTCTATTATACCAAATACTATTTAATGCATAAAAATTATGGAATAAATTTAGAGTTATGAATTATGTTAAATAAGTTTAGAATAATGGAAAAAAGGAATTTTTATAAATTAAATTCCTTTTTATTTTAAAACTACAGTAAGTTTTAAATCAAATAGAATTATATTCAATGAAATAGAATCATATTCAATGAAATAGAATCACGTTCAATGAAATAGAATCACATTCAATGATAATTTGTCTTTTTTTATGGATTTTTCCAATTTCCAATTATAACAATAATTATTATTTTTTTTTTTTTAATATTTAAAAAGTAAATTATTATAAAACTGAAAGCTTTTACGTAAAGCCTTTTTTGTTCAAGGGTCAATATTAAGATGTACAAAATCAATATTACAATGATATAATTATAAATTTATTTTAGTAACTATAAATTAGTAATATAATAAAAAATGAGAATTTTTATATCGGGCTATAATAAAAACAAATTTTTAAAAAATGAAAATTATATTTATTTTAATTGAAGGTACATCACTTATCTTTAAGAAAAAATTAATAAACATTTGAATATGGTCCATCATTAGCAGTTTGGCTTTGTAATGATGATGAACGTTGTACAGCATTAATATCGATTTGACAAATGGTTTGGGTAATTGTTTGCAATTCTTCGCTATCCAGTTGTTTTTGTATACTAATGAACTCAAACACCTAAAGGTGATTTTCCACTTATCTGTTTTTCTTAGGGAAAGAGAAAGGGAACGGAAAAATAATCACGTGAGCATGCGCAGTTTCCTTACGGACAAATAAAAACTTTTATTACGCATGCTCACATGATTATTTTTCCGTTCCCTTTCCCTATCCCGTAGAAAAACGGATGAGTGGAAACTCACCTTTAAGAAATCTTCAATGGTGACTGTGTATGTTCAGCTTTTCAAGCACTTCAAGCATTTCAGTACTTCAAGGGTGACACTGAGGCAAGTTTGTTGGATTGCGGTTTTTATGATACATATGAGATGTTTTGGCTTTCCAAGAAAACTTGTGTTTTTTTGGCATAATGCAATGATGCTTTATCTGGTCAAAACACATAATTGCCATCTGAATGGTGTTTTTGAAGAAATGGATTCAATATTTTCTTCAAACATTGACTCTGGTGTACTTTTTGATAAATAGCCAAACTACTTTACTTGAACCATGGCTTGGAAATTCCCCTCTCAGATATGACAATCTACACCATCACTTTTTGCTCAAACTTTTTTTTATATTTGTATTTTATTGGAGGTGTTGTAGAACTTTAGTCTGCATAATATCAATCATTTCCTTGAATGTGTGTTTTGGAGAAGGGGAAAAAACTTTTGTCATCTAAAACAAAACATTTTCCATAGTAATTTTGGGTCAGGGCAGATTATTCTTGTTTTTTTAACCTTTTGCAGATATAAGACTACATATGCTTGAACTTTTCTGCAGCATTTTGTTGAATTATTGAGTCATTGTTGTTAAAAGTACCATCGAGCAAACAAAGTCCCTTTTTGTTCATTATTTTAGTCTTCCTCTACCACTTTTATATTGGTTGTTAAGGATGCCAAAATACAGTAATTAATTGAAACTGGAACATTTTTGGTTTTAAAATTATTCACAGTAAACTTTTTTCTGAAATTTTTGTGCATTTAATAGAATTTTACAATGCGCTTGCATAGTAAGTCTTGTTTTGATGGCATTTTAAACACAACTGAGTTAGCTGATGCAAAACAAAACATAAATTTCTAAACAAAGTGAATTTTTTTGAATATTTTTTGACAGAATAATCTTCTAGCTTTATTGCAGATTGTTAATAAGGTTTGTACGCATATACCTACTCTATATCAGCAGAAACTGAAGCAGTACAATCAATCAGATCTTCAACACTTATGCTTATCATTATCATTATTATTAGAATGAATGAATCTATCAACTAAATGCAGTAGTGGTGTAGTGGTAGATCGCCCACCTCATAAGCAGGAATTTCGAAGTTTGATCCCTACCACGTCCCTGGTAGTACCATAATCAATTTATTTCTCTGCACAGCAGCCTTGTTTGCCTTGTTTTAAAGTAGCTTATTCTACTGTTCTGGCCTTGATTTACTTGGGGGAAGGGATGGGGGTTAATTAACATTAAAAAAAAATCTTTATTATCTGAAGAATCTAAACTAAGCTCAAATTCATAATCCAAATGTATAAAAAAAACTCTCGAATTCATTGAATTTTATTTATTGAATTATTTCCATTCCCCCTCATCCTCTTATCTCCTCCATCCTCCTGAACCAAATATCCTTATTCTTCACTGATTTTTGTAATGCTTGTTATAACTCTTCCACAACTTACCTTTCTGATCTAGATAGAACTAAATATCCTCTTCTTTAGCATTTTTAGAATGAAAATGATCCTAATTTACTTTCTGTTTAAACTTAGCTAAAAAAATATAAAAGTGAGTGCTACTCTCCTCAAAAAACTCATTCTGTATTAAGTTGCCAGCACTGGAAGTACAATTCAATGATTTGAGGCGATGTTTACATACTTATTATAGAGCTTCAGTATCTTATCTCTGACACTGGAACCACTGATAATAGAATTTTAAAATCATACAAGATTTCTTCCATACATCTATTACAATAGAGGCAATGCATCTCTGTTCAGGATTCTTGCAGGAATCTCTGCTGATCAGATCCTTGTCCTTATGATTCTTTGGCTACAACCAACTTGGTAGATCAACATCTTATTGATCTAAAAATTAATATAAAAGTTATTTATTATTATGGTTTTGTTGTTCTTATGTAATTTTTTACTTTAATTTGTCTCTTGGAAGGGGTGTTGTGTTAAGAGCAAGGCCTGCATGCTACAAAGTATTCTCAACGCCCTCAGATATGCATTACACATCAGGAGAAATTGCAAATGTATTAGAAATGTACACATAAAATTAAAACATTGAAAAAGACATTTGTTATAAATATTAAAATTTTGTTAAACAAAGTTTTAATTTTTGTATATATAATTTTGTTTTTATAGCTGTTTTTACATGCATACAAGTTGTTCATTTTATAAGAAGTCATGGCCTTAATCACAGATAGTTCAAACATCTGCTTGAAGAATGTGGTAATGAGGCATGAGATGTAATTTATTTCTGTCAAGTTAGGTGTCTTAGCCAAGTAGCAACCCTAAAAAGATTTTATATATTGTTATCAGAAATAGTGCAGTTTCTAAAAAAGTAACAGGAAAGGCACAAGTTTGCATCATTGAAATAACTCAAATGTTAACAGAGTTAAATGTTAAATCGCAGAGTAAAGATCAACTTCTTAGTAAAATGTTTGAAACATTTGTTTTAAATTCTAATTTCTGAAACAACAATCAAGTTTAAAATTGTTTCAAGACATTATCAGAAAGAAACGTTTGCCCTCAAATTGTAATCAATCAATCTCATTTAAAACTAATTAATGATTTTGACAAAAGGTTCTGCAACTTTTATAAATAAAAAAATGAATTGAACTGATTTGTACATTCATTTTATGTTAAAGCTGTTAGAGATGAATTTCAATTGAAATTGATAAAATTACAAAACAATTAAATAAGCTTATAAAGAAGTAAAATTAAAAGAAATTTATAAAAAATAGACGAGCATTGAGTTTATCCACATTTCTGCAGACATGCTATTAAATAATTTTCAATTTTTAGAAGCACTTATAACTGTGAACAGTTTTTCTCAAAAATAAAGCATGTTAAAACAGAGCTGCAAAATATATTGAAAGATGAATACCTTATTGATACACTTTGAATTTCTTTATCCAGTATAAATGTATACATATTTATTAAAAATTTATACAAAAAAAAAACAATACCAAGTTGACTATTAAATAAAATTTTGTAACAGTTTGTTTATATTTTTTTTTAAATAAAATTTTTAAGTTTAAATAATTGAGTTTTTTGAAATTTATATTTGTGGCTCTCATGCTAATGTCGCAATAAAATACTGTCCCTTACTGTAAAATGGTTGAAATCCCTGGTATAAAATAGGCTATTGTTTATAACATTAAAATTTTATTATAGTGCTTTTATAAAAATTGAAATTAATCTTAGAATCTTAGAATATTTCTGATGATTGGCAGTAATCTTAGAATCTTAGAATATTTCTGATGATTGGCAGCTGGTTTGTTGGAAGTTCATTGATTGGGTATTTCAGCAGCCTTCTTGGATTAGTTGACAAAGTGTACTTTCTTTTCTTACTCTTTGAATAATTACAATTAGATTTAAATAAAGCCGTTGAATGGTCAAAGGTGTGGCTTGTTAATGTTGATAATTGTGTAATAATGCATTTGGGTAATAAAAATGTCAAGTATTTGTTTGACCCATTTTTGAATTCGCAGTGTCAGTTTTATCTTTTTACTTTTAAGGTTAAATTAAAGCCCTAGAAAAGCTGAATTGTTCCTTCGTTGAGGAATTTGAAATATGATAATAGGTTGAAATGTCTTAAGATCACAGATC